ACAAAACTTGAGATTTTTTACTACAAACACGTTCTGGACTTGCTTACTAACTTATCCCTACCTATACACCACTTTATAGCATGCATCAGAAGGATATTAGGAACAGAAGAATAAAAAAATAAACAAAATAAAATAAAAAATGCCTACTTACCTACCCTACTTTTGTTTTCGATGCAATAGGAAACACACCTATTTTTTTGTTTGGCCTTAACAGGTGTGCTGGCGGCGCGGGATGCGGGGCTCACGTTCATGGTCGGGGGCAGCGAGGCTCGTTACCCGGACGCAGAGAAGCTGCTGGGCGTGATGGGACGCAACGTGGTGCACTGCGGCGGCGTCGGCACGGGCGAGGCGGCGAAGATCTGCAACAACATGCTGCTGGGAATCTCGATGATCGGCGTCTCGGAGACAATGAACCTCGGGATCAAGTACGTCGTGGCGCCCCCTGTCTGTTATTCGTGGCCCCGCCCCTTGCCGGGAATCGGTGATCTCCTTTCTTCCGCCATGCAGAGACACGCACGCACTCCACGGCATGTGCACGTGATTCTAGGATGGATAGAATTAAGCTATCTTCTCGCGTGTCTCCGTCCTTCTACCCTCTCTCCTTCCTTTCTCGACCCAAAGACACCTCTCGTGGCATGTGCGCACGTGTATCCAAGATGGTATTAAGCTACCTGATGCGTGTCCATCGTTCTACCCTCTCTCCTTCCATTCACTGACTCTTAACACGATGTGCGCACGTTTGTCCATGATGGAAGCCACCTGACGTGTCTCCGTCGTTCTTCTACCCTCTCTCCTTCGATCCTCCACTGAAAGACACGTGTCACTACATGTGCGTGCGTTTCCAGGATGGAATTAAACCACCTGATGTGTCTTCGTCATTCTACGCTCTATCTCCTTCTTTCCTCCACAGACTCATGTCGCGACGTGTGCATGTGTTTCCAAGATGGAATTAAACCACCTGACGTGATTCCGCTGTTCAACCCTCTCTCCTTCCTTCCTTCACAGACTCATGTTGCGACGTGTGCATGCGTTTCCAAGATGGAATTAAACCACCTGACGTGATTCCGCTGTTCAACCCTCTCTCCTTCCTTCCTTCACAGACTCGGTCTCGACCCCAAGCTACTCGCGAAGATCCTGAACATGAGTAGCGGCCGTTGCTGGTCGAGCGAAGTCTACAACCCGTGTCCCGGCATCGTCGAGGGCGTCCCGTCCAGCCGCAACTACGAGGGAGGCTTCGGCAGCGCCCTCATGCTGAAGGTGGGCAAACTACGAAAAAGCGACCTTGCTATACGGACTATATATATAACAAGCATATGTAACGTGTATAACGTAATACGTGCATATATTATTAGAT